GGAAGGAAGGCCAAGAGAGAATCGAATATTCCAGGACAATTTCGATAGACTATCCTACGATACCATCAAAAGACTAGTCTCAGAAATGAAGCTCTGAGAGGTTAAGAAAGTTAATAGTCAACCTATGGTTAAAAGAGAAAAAGAATGACGAGTTCCCGATATACAAGGTATGTCCCATAGGTTCCCGGACTGGGTCCATAAAAAAAATAAATAAATGGAAAATGTAAATAAATTTGACTGTTTATTATAGAAAAAATATCTGGCAACACGGTGGTACCAATATCGAGTCGGTAGGTGCGCGCGCGCCAAGGTAATTCTAATTTATTTAAAGGTCACACCTAGCGCTGAGTCGATTTTACAATGGAGAAAAATTGAAGCAGAGGATTTGCATAGAATTTTGTGTGAAACTTCAAATATCAGCAACCGAAACTTTTGAAATGCCTAATAAAGCATTCCCCAATGACCCCCCAAAGAAAACAACTGTTTTTGAATGGCATTCTAGATTTAAAGCTGGCCGAATTTCCATTGAAGATGCTCCTCGTCAAGGACGCCCAAAATTTCAAAGTACTGATAAAATGTGCAAAAAATCACCGATTTGATAAAAGAAAATCCCCGAACCACTTTGCTGGAGCTAGAGCAAGACACAGGCATCTCTAAAACAACGATTGGAAAGATCGTAACCGAAGATTTGAAGCTCAAAAAGACTCCTGCAAAATGCATCCCAAGATTCCTCACTAATGAGCAAAATCTATGTCGGCTTGCAACCTGTGAAGACATGTTTAAAATGACAAGAACGGATCCGGAATGGAAAGACAAGATAATCACAGGCGATGAGACATGGGTCTATGGCTATGACCCTGAAACCAAGCGTCAATCTGCCGAGTGGAGAGGTCAGGGTGAGCCTAGACCCAAAAAATCCAGGATATTGAAATCCAGAAACAAGGTGTTGCTGGTCGCTTTTTTGGATAACAAGGGCATTGTTCATCACGAGTATCTTCCTGCAGGCCAAACAGTTATTAAGGAAATGTATTTGAGCATTCTTCGCCGTCTAAGGGAAGCTATTCGAAAAAAAAGGCCAGAAAAATGGACTAATGGTGACTGAATCCTACACCATGACAATTCCCGCCCTCACACAGCGCATTTGATGACGAGTTTTTTGGCGAAAAACGGGACAGAAATCCTACCTCAACCACCCTATTCCCCAGACATCGCACCAAATGACTTTTTCCTGTTCCCCAAACTCAAAGCAGTTCTAAAAGGAAGACATTTTGACACCAGGGAAGACATAATAGAAAAATCGCTGCTGGCATTGAAGAGCATTCCAAAAGAGGCCTATAAAAACTGTTTCGACAATTGGGAGAAACGATGGCGCTGGTGCGTTGAAGCATGGGGGGATTACTTTGAAAAGTTTTAATAAAAAAAATTTTAAAAAATCTTACCTTTTTTTTTATGGACCCAGTCCGGGAACTTATGGGACATACCTTGTATTTTCTAAATGCTTAGTTCTATAATTCCTATCTACACCATCTAGTATATTTTTCCTACAAAAATATTTTTGTCAATTTTTTCTCCAAATAAACGATTGAACTGCTATTTAATGTAATATTTCACTCCATACGTCATAAATAATACTATAATGTAGATATTAAAAGATAATAGGAGATATCAGTGCAGGTAAACTGTGATTTCACTGTTTTAGCGCACTTTATTTAAGATTGGAATATTATATTACATTTTTTAAAAGAAAAATAAATAGCAAAAGCCGACTCTATTTAATTTTGTCTCATAATTCCTTTTTTTTAAATAATTTCACGCCACACAATTATTTTTATCTGAAATACCTTCAGCGATTGTGTATGAATGCCGAACGATAATTTTATCCGTTTATCGTTGAAAAAGGAAAAGAAAACGAAATGAATTCAAATTTATTTTTATATTTTCTTCTACACCTCTGTTTATCTAACATATCACACACACACTATATATATGATTCTACATTCAATTTCTCACTGCATTTATCTATAAAAATAAAAACTAAAAAATATTCCCTATTTTCTACTGTCAGTTTGGCATATATTATTAACCTCCATGCATGTTATCCCTTCCTGCTGGGCTCGGCCATATTTCACAACAAGGAATAAATAGCCATTGTTGTTGTTGTAGGTAGACCTGGTGGCTAAGTGTAATCTCTCTTTGCGGCAAAATATTGACTTGAAGATGGACGTCATCGGCTGGGCCGGCATCAACAACAATCTAGAAACATTTTGGCCATTCCAATCAGAGAAATATATATCTCCTCCTCTTCCTATATGTTTACAATATCTATTTGAGGTTAAATATAAGAACAAGTAACTCAAGAAATGAACTATGTCAAACATAACACATTAATTCAAAGGATTTCTTGTCACTTCCTATTTGTCGAATTTAATGACCTTAGTGAGGTAATAATCACAACTAATGGTATTTTTTGGAGGAAGAGGGGATGGGATTAAAAGGTACAATTATCTCCATTGTGGGATCTTGAGTATCAACTCGTTGTCCAATAGATGGCATGCCAAATTTGTCAAACTAGCACATGGTAAACTTTCATGACCTCAATCCGAACTGTGAAGCTCCGATCGCATTTTCTATAGAATGAGTGTACACTTCACCAGAATTAATTACTAGAAGAGCTTGTTAGAATTTTATTAGGGTATGCCAAATAATAAGGAATTACTCTAATGCAGCAAACATTTAAATTTATATTTAAATAATTTTAAATATATTTATAATTTATTTGAAAAGAGTTTATTTCTTTTAATGTATTTAATACACACATTGCTTAGAGTAATATAAAGGTTTAAAATAAATATATATATGTCATAAAAAAAGATGTATTTTAGGTACGTTACCAATTCATTCATGCAGTCGTGGATTGAAGTGAATGATAACTTTTATTTCCAAAATTGTATTTATTTTAATGATTATATTTAAGAACAAAGCAGTTTGCATACATTCAATTTTTATATTGATATAACCTAAGTATAAACAAAAAACATCTTGGGTTGTACTCCTTTTGTTGAGGATTTTAAAAATCAACTCTGTGTTTGGTTCTATGATTATTTAAAATATTATTATATTAATGAATAATAAAAATCATATTTTTATTATGTCATATATATATATGCTTCAAATAAAAAAAACACACTTGAATATTGTAAGAAATATAAGAAGTAATAATTATTAGGTGTAGAAATAAAATAAATATTCACACTGGGTCGTCATTGTGTGTGTGTGTGCAAGGCAAGGAATAATGAAGTAAATTTTACAATTAAATACTTTTTTAACATCTCAACCATCAAATTGGCGCACAGTTCGCACATGAGAAATTTTAAAAATGACAATAATAAAAACAATTGAATATATGCTATATATATTCACACGACGCTGTTGACACCTTTGGGGATTTCGCTCGAAGATCGCCACGGTAGGTACTCTAGGTAGGACCTTAGGTGGGAATAGTTATCATGGGTTATATATCCTTACTAGACGAATGACCCGGGCAACGCCCGGGTTTACCCGATTAAATGTTTTATTAAAACACTATTCGTTACAATTATAAATTGGCGCCGTGGATGTCACTCTTGTGAAACGTCCCGCTCCAAACTTTACATGTAAATTAGGTCAGCTGATATTACCTCCCATCTTCACCGCTAGAGGCGCTGCTCGCGAGCAAAAGGGCAAACTCGACGAATATTCGGGATAGAGACCTGAAAATTTCACTATAAGTTTTTCCAGATTCTACTCTATATACTGTTAAAATTTCAGTCAGATTAGTTACGATATAAATCTTCAAATCGAGCGAGCGTCTATAAATATTTCGATTTAGATCAAGTATTCTAATTATTAAGCGAACACACTATTATTAATAAAATTTTGAGAAGATTTCGATTTTAAACTTATTTATAACCTTGATAGAGGGCGCTGTTCGTGAGCTAAACAGAAAAATTTGAATATATAGTTTTAATATTCAATTTATATATAATTAAAAAAAAACCCAGGCTAAGTTTCGAACCAAGGTTGTGGAAATACGAAGCCGCACACCTAACCATTAAGCTACGCTTGGCATCATAAATATTCGCATGTAAAGCTATTTCAGGCCTTACATATTTCTAACGAACTTTTTGAAATAGGTTTTTGAAACATGGAAATTATAATACTTCAAATAAATAGAAATAGAGTGAACACAAATAAAACATTTAAAATACAATATAACGCGGCTGATGATTGTAAAACGAAAATTGAAATTATACCGCGAATGTTTCTTTTATAAAAATCGAAATTTATTTTCAAAGAGAAATAGCGACATTTCTAACTTTGAGGATGAGGTATGGAAAGGTGAAACATGAAGAGTAATGGCGAACGGAAAAATAAAAAGTGTCCAGGGGCGGGAATCGAACCCACACCCTTCTGCTTACCGGGCAGGTGCCTTGTCCACTCGGCTACCCTGGACGTATTTTTCCGTTCGTAACTAATACTTAAAGTAACATTTAAAATACAATATAACGCGGCTGATGATTGTAAAACGAAAATTGCAAATATACCGCGAATGTTTCTTTTATAAAAATCGAAATTTATTCTCAAAGAGAAATAGCGACATTTCTAACTTTGAGGATGAGGTATGGAAAGGTGAAACATGAAGAGTAATGGCGAACGGAAAAATAAAAAGTGTCCAGGTGCGGGAATCGAACCCACACCCTTCTGCTTACCGGGCAGGTGCCTTGTCCACTCGGCTACCCTGGACGTATTTTTCCGTTCGTAACTAATACTTAAAGTAACATTTAAAATACAATATAACGCGGCTGATGATTGTAAAACGAAAATTGAAATTATACCGCGAATGTTTCTTTTATAAAAATCGAAATTTATTTTCAAAGAGAAATAGCGACATTTCTAACTTTGAGGATGAGGTATGGAAAGGTGAAACAGGAAGAGTAATGGCGAACGGAAAAATAAAAAGTGTCCAGGGGCGGGAATCGAACCCACACCCTTCTGCTTACCGGGCAGGTGTCTTGTCCACTCGGCTACCCTGGACGTATTTTTCGTTTTACAATCATCAGCCGCTTTATATTGTATTTTAAATGTTACTTTAAGTATTAGTTACGAACGGAAAAATACGTCCAGGGTAGCCGAGTGGACAAGGCACCTGCCCGGTAAGCAGAAGGGTGTGGGTTCGATTCCCGCCCCTGGACACTTTTTATTTTTCCGTTCGCCATTACTCTTCATGTTTCACCTTTCCATACCTCATCCTCAAAGTTAGAAATGTCGCTATTTCTCTTTGAAAATAAATTTCGATTTTTATAAAAGAAACATTCGCGGTATAATTTCAATTTTCGTTTTACAATCATCAGCCGCGTTATATTGTATTTTAAATGTTACTTTAAGTATTAGTTACGAACGGAAAAATACGTCCAGGGTAGCCGAGTGGACAAGGCACCTGCCCGGTAAGCAGAAGGGTGTGGGTTCGATTCCCGCCCCTGGACACTTTTTATTTTTCCGTTCGCCATTACTCTTCATGTTTCACCTTTCCATACCTCATCCTCAAAGTTAGAAATGTCGCTATTTCTCTTTGAAAATAAATTTCGATTTTTATAAAAGAAACATTCGCGGTATAATTTCAATTTTCGTTTTACAATCATCAGCCGCGTTATATTGTATTTTAAATGTTACTTTAAGTATTAGTTACGAACGGAAAAATACGTCCAGGGTAGCCGAGTGGACAAGGCACCTGCCCGGTAAGCAGAAGGGTGTGGGTTCGATTCCCGCCCCTGGACACTTTTTATTTTTCCGTTCGCCATTACTCTTCATGTTTCACCTTTCCATACCTCATCCTCAAAGTTAGAAATGTCGCTATTTCTCTTTGAAAATAAATTTCGATTTTTATAAAAGAAACATTCGCGGTATAATTTCAATTTTCGTTTTACAATCATCAGCCGCGTTATATTGTATTTTAAATGTTACTTTAAGTATTAGTTACGAACGGAAAAATACGTCCAGGGTAGCCGAGTGGACAAGGCACCTGCCCGGTAAGCAGAAGGGTGTGGGTTCGATTCCCACCCCTGGACACTTTTTATTTTTCCGTTCGCCATTACTCTTCATGTTTCACCTTTCCATACCTCATCCTCAAAGTTAAAATGTCGCTATTTCTCTTTGAAAATAAATTTCGATTTTTATAAAAGAAACATTCGCGGTATAATTTCAATTTTCGTTTTACAAATAAAACATACCAAATATTTCGAATTAGAGCAGTTATTTTAAACGGCGAATTAGATCAGTATATCTAAATTGTCTTGCATTCGTTTATACAATTATTATATATTGGCATTATATATTAACTTTATGAACGGAAAAATATGTCCAGGGTAGCCTAGTGGTCATGGCATCTGCCCGGTAAGCGGAAGGTCGTGGGTTCGATTCCCATCCCTTGACACTTTTTTTATTTTATCCATTCTGACCAGAATCTATCCGTGAACTTCACACAGTGAACTTCACACAGACAGAATAAGGCAATTATATAAGTAGACTAGCCGAATGACCCGGGCAACGCCTGTGTTTTACCCGATTGAATGTTTTGATTCAAATACTATTTGTTACATTTATAAATTAGCGCCTTAAATAATTGCATATGTTAGTTAATAACTATAGCCTATGTGCTTTATCTGTCTATGTACTGTTGGCTTCCGTAGGCGTCTCTTACTGGGAAAAAGAAAGAGAGGATTCCATTTGGTTATTATCTAATATATGCATTTATTTAGGGAGCGACCCGCTCCAACACAATAGTTAAAAAGACGAAATAGCGAGTGGGGGGGGGGGGGGGAGGGGGCATGATGGGGGGGCGGGCAAAGGTGGCGTGACCGTGGCCAACCAATAGGAGTGAGCCATTCCAAAAAAAAAAAAGCAAACGGTGACAGAGTTGAAAACTGATGATTGATTGTTGATTAGGAGATGAGGAATGACGCTCGTAACTGTATATAGAATATCTATAAAAATGAAATCCAAAATCGATGTTTGTTATCGCGTTGCGCAATATCTACAGACTAAATCATTATGAAATTTCGCATATAGGTAGCTGAAGATTTCGTTTACAATATAGGCTATTTAAAAAGCTAAAAAGGTTATTGTGCTTTTTTAAAAATATACAACCAAAAAGCGTTAGTTCCAGCCTTTTACCGCTTGGGCGCAGCACTGGTCGCGGCGATAAATGAATTTGATGGGTTAATAATTTACACGTGGTTTGTTTACACGATGAATGTTAGTTTGTTTACACGATGAATGTTTAAGGTAAGAATATCCAATCGCCGTGAAACTTTAGGAAATTATTTAGTTTACTACTGATCCTGGACCTAAATACACTGAGCAGACAACACTTGATCCCAGCCCGGATAAGAATATCCGAGAACTAATTGTTGCCCTCTCTGACAAGATGGAAGATTGGCATGGGAAACTAGAGACAAAGTTATCTTCTGTTGAACAAGGAATAGGGAAATTGGATCGTCGCATACAACTGTTAGAAACTATAATGGATAGCACTGCGAAATCAGTCTCGATGAACTCGGAGAAAATACGAGAAATGGATGCTCGAATAGAATTCTTAGAAATGAAAATGAGAGAAAATAACCAAATTTTCCATGGAGTAGAAGGAAATGAGGGTGAGGATCCCGAAGAATCCTACTCCACTATAAAACAGATAATTGCGGACAAGATGCAGATACCGGGAAAAAATAATATCTTACAATGCCGTCGGCTGTCCAAAAGGGCTAGGGCTCTACTCCTGGTTAGCATTCCTGACCACAATGAAAGAATAAAACTATTTAAGAATGCATTTAAGCTTCGAAACTTTAAAATAAACATAAGTAAAGACTACACTCTTGGGATCAGAGAACAACGTAGAACATTGATCGCCAAAAGAAAAAAACTTTTAACAAGTGGAACTTTAGCGAAATTAAGAGACAACAAGTTGATTGTCGCAAGCATAAAGTACCAAGTCGTAAATGGTAAAATTGTCAGTCCAAATGGGGCTGAATTATAGCAAATAAACAAAAATAATCTAGAGAAAAAATGTAAATATTTAAAAATAAATAAATCTAATCAACATATACCTTTTGATGGAAATCAAAACAAAGCATGTCCACCCTATGAAACACTTAAATCTAATATAAACTTTACAATTACAAAGCCACGAATCGATGTTGACAGCTCAGAAACTTCACAGCCATTACATAATAAGATACATACAAATAAATGTTCACAAAAAAGTTCTGAAAACAAAAGGATAAAAGATATCACTATAAAAGCTAAAAAACCTTATACATGTAATTCTAATTATGTAAATCCAAAATAACATTGAAAAAATGTGTTGGAATGTAAATGGTTTAAATAGAATTTGTTCCTCGTTTTCGGTTGTTAATTATCTAAAAAACTTCAAAATTATTGTTTTGTTGGAAACCTGGTATGACCATCCGATTGACTTTCCACTGGGAACATTTTGTATTTATGAATCATTGGCCCTGAGGACTGCAAACCGTGGAAGATGGTCGGGTGGAATTATTGTTGGTTTAGGAATCGAGGTTCAAGCTTTGACCCATAAGGTGGAAGTTGAAAGATTTTGGATCGCAATATTCCTGAAACAGAATTCAATTCCAGAATTTCCATCTGCTTGTTTGATTTTCGTGTATATTCCACCAGACAATTCGCAAATGGAAAATCTTAACAAATTATTCAGATATATAGAGACCCAAATACAGGATGGTTACGGGATACTCCTGGGTGGTGATCTGAACGTCCGTACCGGTAGCCTGGGTGGGTTCTATAACCTAATGGAAAATCTGACAGTACTTTCAACGGGGGTCTGTCTAAAGACACGCTAATACACCCTCTTGCGGAGACTCTAACTAACCTTTTAGACAATAATCTATTAACCATAGTTAACGGCAGATCGAAAAGTGATAATTGCGGAAACTATACATTTATTTCTGATTGAGGATCCTCAGTTATTGATCTAGTGATAGTTTCGCCGGCCATGTTTGAATTCATTGTCGATTTTTACGTCGACGGCATGCCTTATTCTGACCATCTCCCAATTATAACGAAGATAGGCCTGATATGGACGAGCTGGACACTACTCAGATTACCCCGAGTGATACTATAGATTCTCAGATAAACTGGCTCTCCAACAAAATTACGACAGCAATGTCACAAGCAGGAATGCTGCGCACTTCAAAACTGGGTGACGAGAAGTCAAAACCATGGTTTGATGGGGAATGTTACCTTGCAAAAAAGACAATGAAGGAGAGTTTAAAAAGGTTTATGACAAAATATAAAGCTGAAGACAGGGATTTTTATGTGAAAATAAAAGGAAGGAAATATCAGGCATTAATCAAATTGAAAAATAAAATATTCTATGAAGATATATGCCTAGCCCTTCAGAAAACCAAAGATTCTGCCGGATTTTGGAAGGCAGTATCTCTGTTTAGAAAACGGAGCAGCATAACGGGCAAAATATCGATTGCACAATGGCAAACTTTTTATGCTAAACTTCTCTCTACAACTTCAAATCCAGAGATAAATATATCACTTTATATCAGATATTCTGATCCTCTACTAGACGGTGAAATCACTGATGCGGAAATAGAGACAGAAATCTTGAAGCTGAAAAACGGTAAAGCTCCTGGAATAGACGACATTCCCAATGAGGCGATCAAGGCCCTCCATAAAGATCAACTAAAAAGGCTAGTATGCATATTCAATCAAATTTTAGAAAACGGTTTTTTTCCATCGTTATGGTCCAAATCAATTATTCAGCCTATCTTTAAAAACGGAGATATTGAAAACCCCTCAAATTACCGCGGTATTGCACTTGTTAGCAACCTCTCCAAGCTTTTTTCAGCAATTCTTAAAAACAGAATGACTAAATGGATAGAAGACAAGGGAATATTATTTGAAAACCAGGCTGGGTTTAGAAGGGGACACTCTTGTCTGGACCACATATTTACTTTGACTTCTTTGATACAACTTACATTAAGAAAGAAGAGAAG